GTTAAACTCTGTTAAAAGAGGTCCAAAATGTTCATACACGTAGTTGTTCACTGTGTTTATCAAAATCGAAGTTGTCGACAGATCCACACCAAACATCCCATTGATGTCCCACAGTCGATTTGGGTACACAAGACGGCGAAGTAAAAGGCACAAGCCCTCGATGCCACTACACGAACATCGGTTATAACCAGTGAATACGTTTGGTAACTCCATGACCTGAGATATCCTGAATAGATCATCTTTTTCAAATCGAAACAAGAGACTGCACTCTTCATTTGATAGACTTTCCAGATTTATTCTGAATGCGTTAATACCACCACGCCTATCTTCCTCAAATAAGTGATATAGGAGGAGTGTTTCCTCGTCATCCTTGTCATCAATAATAGCGGCCGCGGTGACTGGGTCAATGCCTGCCATATGTACAGTTGTCGAAGATCACACTACTAGAATGAAATAAAATAGTGAATTAGGCTAACTACTATTACCCCATGGTTACAATGATATAGATCGAATATTACTTGAAAATATAATTGATATTTGGATCAGGATATCATATTTTAGCAAAGAATTCCCAAACAATCGAATATCACTCCTTAAAAAGAGGCAACGCTGGTTGAATGGGGTATGCTATTTAGGATTGGTACTGAATGGGGATGGGACTGCTGTCAACGTATCTATAGTTCGTCAGTATAAATACCTCGAAGTTCTATTGTATACCATAGAAAATATAGTCTGGTAACATGCATCCTTGGACTATATATCCCGGTGTAAAAGGGTAGGAGGTCCTATCAAATTATGGTCCTACTCTCCATTGATTTATATAGTGACCTAATCACAACTCTTTCCCTTATTATTTTATACACAATCAGGGCCAGTAAGGGCCGTTTGGAAAGGGGACCATAATCCCCAGGGGACCATAATTTCTTTCACACCGGGACTATATATTCAGGGAGATTATAGTATATTCACTTTTGACACCGGAAATGATCCAGAGTTTTTTCTTCCAATGTTATCCCATGTTTAGAGACAGAATGTACTATTATTCTATGTTCACGAAATGATATGAGGGGCAAAATAACATAAATCGATATTTCCAAATTACACGACATGAGTGAACAAAATCTTACCTTTTTGAGAAGATATAACTGTTGTGTTACTTCCACAGGAAATGAATGTTATTGTCAAGGTCATGGCTTGAGATACGTTTTGTGGATTACGTGCTAAAAAAACGTACTGCGAAACGAAAATTTTCGAATAACGTATCCGTAAACGTAACGAGATACGGATGCGGATACGTTTTAGCAAACCCGTTGTGCGAAACCTCTCTATTATTAAAATACACCTTCTTGCATAGATTTCACCAAATTATGTATTAATGTAATGAAGACATGAACTATATGTTAAAAACAAAGGACATTAAGTAGAGTAGTTATGAAGTATAAAATAAGAATATGATATGCCATTTTAATTGTGATTTGAAATATATTATCAAAAGTGCTTTGACTGAAAATTTAGTTTTTGATAGTTGCCCCGGGTCTTCATGCTTTCTGTTGCTATGGCAACCATAACTTCAACGAATCACATCACTTTGATCTGTAACTTAATATTATATCAATTCAAAATTGTTTAAACATTATTCTGTGCAAGTGTTATGAGGATTGGGTAAAATCTGAAGAAATGCCAGATACTTTTACCTTATTTATTGATCGCCCTGTGTATTGATATGGCCAATGTGTTGGAGGATACAAATATTAGACAAATCGTATATAAATCGTAGTGAAACATACACAATTATGTGACTAAAACATATCAAACATTGCGCTTTCAAGAGCTGGTTGCACATACATTTTATAAACATGCTGAAAAATATCAACGCAATTGAAACATTATAAGTTAAGAAATCCGATGTTATGTTATTTTGCCCCTCATATCATTTCGTGAACATAGAATAATAGTACATTCTGTCTCTAAACATGGGATAACATTGGAAGAAAAAACTCTGGATCATTTCCGGTGTCAAAAGTGAATATACTATAATCTCCCTGAATATATAGTCCCGGTGTGAAAGAAATTATGGTCCCCTGGGGATTATGGTCCCCTTTCCAAACGGCCCTTACTGGCCCTGATTGTGTATAAAATAATAAGGGAAAGAGTTGTGATTAGGTCACTATATAAATCAATGGAGAGTAGGACCATAATTTGATAGGACCTCCTACCCTTTTACACCGGGATATATAGTCCAAGGATGCATGTTACCAGACTATATTTTCTATGGTATACAATAGAACTTCGAGGTATTTATACTGACGAACTATAGATACGTTGACAGCAGTCCCATCCCCATTCAGTACCAATCCTAAATAGCATACCCCATTCAACCAGCGTTGCCTCTTTTTAAGGAGTGATATTCGATTGTTTGGGAATTCTTTGCTAAAATATGATATCCTGATCCAAATATCAATTATATTTTCAAGTAATATTCGATCTATATCATTGTAACCATGGGGTAATAGTAGTTAGCCTAATTCACTATTTTATTTCATTCTAGTAGTGTGATCTTCGACAACTGTACATATGGCAGGCATTGACCCAGTCACCGCGGCCGCTATTATTGATGACAAGGATGACGAGGAAACACTCCTCCTATATCACTTATTTGAGGAAGATAGGCGTGGTGGTATTAACGCATTCAGAATAAATCTGGAAAGTCTATCAAATGAAGAGTGCAGTCTCTTGTTTCGATTTGAAAAAGATGATCTATTCAGGATATCTCAGGTCATGGAGTTACCAAACGTATTCACTGGTTATAACCGATGTTCGTGTAGTGGCATCGAGGGCTTGTGCCTTTTACTTCGCCGTCTTGTGTACCCAAATCGACTGTGGGACATCAATGGGATGTTTGGTGTGGATCTGTCGACAACTTCGATTTTGATAAACACAGTGAACAACTACGTGTATGAACATTTTGGACCTCTTTTAACAGAGTTTAACCAGCCATGGATGACCATTCCAGATTTACAACGATATGCTCGCGCGATTCAGGCTAAAGATGCCCCTCTTATAAACTGTTACGGTTTTATTGATGGGACTCCAAGACCATGTGCTCGTCCACAGGAAGGGCAGGGTCATTTCTACAGTGGGCATAAAAGGGAACACTGTCTTAAATTTCAGTCTATCATATTACCCAATGGCATTATTACAAATTTGTATGGGCCTGTTGAGGGGTCCCGGCACGATGCCTCAATGCTGCGTCGCAGTAATGTCCTGGATGCACTTGAAACAAAAAGCCTGCCTAACGGGGAACCCATGTCGATTTATGGAGACCCCGCGTACCCCCGAACTCCCCATCTTATTACCCCATTTAGAGGACTCGATGTGACCCCTCAACAGGCCCAATTCAATAGAAGTATGAGTTCTGTGAGGGAAAGCGTTGAATGGGGTTTCGGAAAAATCATCAGGGAATTTGCTTTTTTGGACTTTAAAAAGAATCTCAAAATACTTTTATCTCCAATAGCTAAGTATTACAAAAATGGAGCTTTTTTAACCAATGTGCATACATGCCTTTATGGTAGTCAAGTGAATACTTACTTTAACACTGAACCTCTGTTACTTGAATACTACATTCATAGATGAACATGATTGTGTAACAAACCAAACATTTTGAGACTAAACATGAACAATCATAGAAAACTGTCAACTGTTAAAACAATTGATAATTAAACAACTTTATTATTGCAAAAACACCATATCGCTGATTGGAATCGAAAAATCTGTCCGCTGTGGTGGAGCATGCTATTTTTCTAAAACACACCAAGAAAACTTCACAATTTATATTTAACTCACATGTTTCATTATACCAAAGAAATTCACCTACTCCGTGCAATGAGATTAATCAGTAGCGGGTAACCTTAACTTCTGTTTGACGTCCAATGACGCTAGTAAAAGCTATTGGAAACGACAAAATCAAACTCTAAATGTATCATTTCTTATTAATGGCACGATATAGTGATACGATAATATTTCCATATCTTCAGCATAACCCTGAAGGTATTAATGAGATCTGGATGTAATGGGTCGTTTTTATTTATTTTAATAAAAAATAATGTTAAATTATTGACCGCTATGGAAGAACAGTTTCAAATGTGAAGTACATTAAGATTCATAATGTATCTTTTGAACTACACTTTAGAGAAAGCGAATCAAACCTCCCTCCCAAAATCAAATCGTTCCTAAAGTGTAGCTGTAAAAGTAATATATTGGGAACTTTGATGCATCTCACATTTGCAACTAGTCCTCCATAGAGGACAAAAATCTAGACATCATTTTTCAATAGAACAAATTAAAAATACTAAAATTCATCTATACTAGATCTCTTAATACCCCCATAGTTAAGTTAAAACATATGCGATATTATCATGTCACTGTGTTCAGTGCAATTGAAAATTTAGAAAATAATTGGTACATTTTAGAGTATGATACTCTAGAGCTGTTTTCAATAGATATTGCTCCTAGCGTTATTGTAGTTCAAACAAAAGTAAAGGTTACTTGCAAATGGTGTACCCATTGCACAGGGTAAGTTGAGGTTCTTTGGTATAACGAAGCATATGACTCAAAAAATTGTGACGTTTTCTTAGTGTTTTTATGAAAAATAACATGACACAACATAGCGGACAAATCTTTCGATCACAACCCGTGCTACATGTATAATGTATATGTATATGTATAATTAAAATAAATGTTATATGCAAGTAAACAGCATTTTTATACGTAACAAAATTTAGAACAAGAGGAGCATTAGCAGTTAGCTAATTTAAATGATTGAGATGATTGGTGATCAGTGCGTTTAAAGGAATGAGTCTTTTTAAAAGTAACATTTTGTACCTTCATCTTTTTGCGTTCATAATAATAAAATATGAATTTAACTTGCCATGAGGACAAATAAAACAAATAAAAAGAAGTAACTAAAACAGAACACATCAAACTGATGTTGAAGTCTCCATCTATGAGTATGTACGTCTAATCCTAATTTTCCATTCCAGAATATTTTACTGATAATATTGATCTGTAAGGCTTGTTGAATTAGACAACAAGTGCTATTAATTTTAAAGTAAACATCAAATCCGTATGCACAAGATTTTTTACTTGTCAAAAGTGCTGCTAATCAATCGAGAAAAAATGTTTGAACTAAAGTAAGTACTGAAATGTGGCTATTTAGGATTAAAATTACAGACACGGACGTTTTAATGTCAGTATGCCCACATCATCAGTCTTTCTTGGGATTCATTGCGTTCCATTTTCTCTTTTCCAGTGCAAATTTCCTCTCCTCAAGTTCCATTTTTCTGGTGAGGTATTCCTCTAAGAAGTTACCTACAACACATAAAACAGAAACGTATGCATGTTATCCTATGTGATTAGATTTGGATGAAAAATCATTGAAACACTTCTTTTGAATTGTAAAGGATGAATAGTGTTTCATGATTGTGAAAGAAATTATGGTCCCCCAGGGATTATGGTCCCCTTTCCTAACGGCCCTTACTGGCCCTGATTGTGTACAAGATAATAAGGGAAAGAGTTGTAATTAGGTCACCATATAAATCAATGGAGAGTAGGACCATAATTTGATAGGACCTCCTACCCTTTTACACCGGCATGTGTTGTTCGTATATCATATTAATTTAATTAAATGCAGAACAATAAATACCCAGATTGTATAGATTTTTAAATAATTCTGTCATTCTGTTTGGGTCTTACCTCTTTTGCAGAGTCGTTTCTTAGAAGGGCTTGATTGAGGCGATTTCGTTTGTTTACCAAGGGTGTTCATCGACTTCTCTAGAATTTCAGTCACTTTCTTTTGATCTTTTTCTTGATCTTCTTCCTTCTTCTGTTTTGTTTTTGTTCTTTCCATTTCCACATCTTCTTTTAGGGAAATCACTTCAGTCAACATTTGTGACATCTCGTCATATTCCTCTTCAGTACCAGATCTAAAAGCGTTAAGTTTAAGACGAGATAAATTTTCAGGCGCATTTATGAAAATACATGCTTGACCCTAATGTCTGCAAATGGAGAACGGTGGTCAAATTGACTCCTCTGTTTTAATGAGTTCTTTTATGCACGTTATTTTGTGAATCCCTCATTTTTAGCTTGAGCCGCACATAAATGACACATTTTAGCGTAGAAATCAGTTTGATTGAGGAAGATCATATTTATGATAATCGGAATTTGATGCCAATGAACAGAAAGTCGATATAGTTGCCTTGTCCTAATACTGTGGAAAAAGCAAAGTGATCATTATTTATGGCGTGTCTGATAGACAGTCATTCAGCATATTGAATTTCCTTTCCCACATGCTTATTTCATGAAAATCAAACCCCCGATCAAGCCACTATTTACTATTTAAAGCATGAACTCGCGAGTCGCGTTTTTCCCGAATTTGAGAGATAACAGTTTTTCAAAAAACTGCTTGATGAATAGCTATTATTTTTGCACGTTCCTGAACATTTGTGCAACGATTTATCTGATCATAATTTCAGATCTTTTTTCCCTCTCCCAATTTTTCAACTTCACCAATTCGATTTATATGCCGTTACTTGGTGGTTGGTTGGCTAAGTCATGGACCAAAAATATTCGGAATCTACCAAGTTAAGTATTAGTCTACTGCCGAACTGAAACACCGAGTGGCATTTGTAATACTATATTTGCAAATATGAATGGAAAATTGCTGACAATACAATTGCGTTCAATTGAATTTCAATTGAAAGTGCATAGCTGAGTTATACAAAAGCTTGACAGACGTTGATTTTTTGATTTATTTTAACAATAATGGACTATTCTTTTAAGAATTATAGCATTTTGGCACCAAACAATTTTCCTTTCATAGAAAAATGACAGAATGTCAAAAATACCCTTAAGTCAAGTTGTTCTCGATTTTGTTGACCTACTTTTTGGAGAGGTAATTGAATAAGGTTTACAATTCCAACACGATTGAAATTAGACAAGTAGTTTTCAATCATCAGGGTGAGGTTTATCCAGGTTCTAAGCAATTTCGATATTTTTGATATATTCGATATTTAAGAAATATCTTCGAATGTACCCCTTAGGGCTAGGCACAAAAGCTTTCAAACCCCTCACTCCCTTCGGTCGTTCAGGGTATAGAAAACGTTTGTGCCTAGCCCTGCGGGGTATATTCGTCGATATAACAACACCTGCTCTGAGGTCTATATTACTTCGACCATGAAAATTCACCAACATTTTTCAAATATTCATTGAAATTTCCGCCATTACTACGGCCCGCCGTTATGAGGTCACACATTACTCGTATTAACAGGGGTACTGTTGGCGAATATACCCCGGGTGAAATGTTGACGTCATAAAAGGTGTGAATACAGTCATGTTCGAATTCAAGATACTGACCGGTTAATTCGAAGAACTTTTGATGTGTGTTCAGAGTACCTGTTGAGTAAATGAATGTTTGAGTTTTGGGTTGGGTCGCCACAAATTTTGATGATTTCATTATGTCACTTTGTTAATTCTGGGCACTGTTTAAATTAACAAATGCAACTTCCAAACTTTTCAAATGTTTTATAGAGATGTGAGGAGTGGCCCGCTCCCCCTAGAAAATGTTACACTTTTGAGATGCTATTTGGTGATTTCTGGGTACGTTCAAAGTGTATGAGTCAATAAAATTGAATTGAGTCAAAGAGGTTCAGAAGGTGAGCTAGGGTGGGGTGCCAGAGGGGATCGGAAGCAATAGGTTGTCCCCCAGAAACATTGACCATATGAAGGTGCTATTTTATGATATCTGGGCACTTTAAAAGTGTCTGAGACAATAAATGGAATTCAGAATTGTTCTAATTGTTTTGGTGGGATGTGTGGGGTGGCCCACTACGTTAGAACATTTTACGATTTTAATATGCTATTTGGTGCTTTCTGGGCACTTTATTGTTTGTCCCCAATAAATATTGACCATATCAAGGTGCTATTGATGTTAATTCTGGGCATTGAACAAATGCAACTTCCAAGCTTTTAAATTGTTTTATGGGGACGTGATTAGTGGCCCGCTCCCCCTAGAAAATTGTACACTTTTGAGATGCTATTTGGTGCTTTCTGAGCACTGTCAAAGTGTATGAGTCAATAAAATGATCTTTTATTGCGGGATGCCAGAGAGTGAGGTGGGGTGCCAGATGGGAGCTAGGGGTTGTCTCCAAGAAACATTGACCATATCAAGGTGCTATTAAATGGTGTCTGTGAACTTTAAACGTATCTGAGAAAAAAACATAAAATAAATTCAAAATTTTCAATTGTTTTGTATATTGGTCCCCCTAGAAAAAGTTACAATTTTAAAATGCTATCTTGTGCTTTCTTGGAACTTTCAAAGTGTATGATTCAATAAGACACATTGACTTTTTTATGGGGGGGGTGTAAATTAGGGAACCAGGGGGGGAGTAGACTATATCCTATTTAGTCTGAATAATATTCAGACTATACATATAGTATGTTAAAATTTGTTAACAAAAAATATTTGTTTACATAAAACAGTCACTTTCTCAAAATGGCGGGAGTGAATTAATTTGCATATTTGTTACTTCAACTAGCTTTATTTCCACCTAATATGTTGTGTTATTATTGCATTTAATTAATTGTACCTTACTACTTAATTGAAGTGATAAAATGTTGTTTTTTTAACTAATGCTTCCTCAAATTGATAATTTTTTGCAGAAAATTTCACTGCAATTTCCACAGGACAGTAGTACATCATAACAGACTGACTTCTATAGTCAGTCTGTTAGATACATACTAAGAGGTGGAGGTGAGGTGGGGGTGCTAGAGAGGAAGCAAGTGTTAAATGCTGACTATAGTAAGGAGCTATTTGATGATGTCTGGGCACTTTAAAAGTGTCTGAGACAATGTATAAAATAACTTCAATTGTTTTGTGGGGGTGTGAGGGTGGCCTACTCCCTCTAGAAAATTTTACAATTTCTTTATCGGGGGGGGTGCTAGTCTATATCCAATAGACTGAATGAGAATTTTCATTCCAAATTTCAAAAAAAATTAAGACTGAATAAGATGTTGTCTAGGGGGTATGCGGTCGCATCCATAGAACCCCCCCCCCCATCTGACGGCCCTGCCAAAGACAGCTTAGGTGTAACATGCTAATTGTGCATGGGTTTTTGATATACACAGATGATGGAATTAATTATCGTTAGGTATTCAGTGATTGCCTTGTCTGATAAGAAGACGTGTATGGCCAATCATACAATTGCTAACTTGATATTGATATAATTGATATAATTACATGTACTTATATTAAGGAGAACTACCTAAATGACCTACAAGAATATTGAAACTTTAAAGATTAAATCCGGGAGATAAGATCATAAAACGTTTCGTCTTACTTGGATTTCCGCAATCTGTCCTCCCTCTTGAACGATTTGATGAGGAGTTCCATCCTCTCACGAATAGTTCGTAAACTATCAACGTGGAGACTTTTACACACGTCGAGGCGAACAGCCTCCCAATTGGGAGGATTCTCCCATGGATTTCTTGCCAGGGAAGAACGCACTAAGACTAAGTCGTCTTTGAGTCTAAAGTAAACACGTTTTTTGGCGCTTTCTTGATCTTGAGACATGATGTTCAGCAGTCCACGCGCTATGGATGAATATTGAAGGCTCATTGTGCTGTTTATAAGTACGATTTGCAGGCCACTCACTCATAATCAAATTAGTTGACTAATTAGCCTGGTTCCTTTCATCAAAATTAGCACGATATACACTAAACATTATGTAGGTCACTTAAATTTAACATTTAGGGGAAATTGATATACATTTGAAAGACAAAAATAGATGCGGAAACAACTACGCACAAAAGTGTCAACTTTACGTACTTTCGGTATTGCAGTCATAACACAAACGTATTGAGTCCACATTTGCTCCATCGATGCGTTACGGATTTTGATACGGGCAGCTGAAACGTTGTGCGAAGCAACTACACTGTGATTATTGTAATACCATTCCACACAGTGTAAAATGAATTGAACATACCATTTGGAAAACTCGATTTATGTCAAACAATAAACAAATCCATTCACCAAATCTAAGTCATATATTGAACAACACAATGTGTTTGTTCATACAGTGATACTTTTAGAACTAAAATCAATGTAATTGTATGATAAAATGGGATGCGTAAATGACCAACGTACAAAAGCCTCATTTTTCGTGTTTTCCGTATTGCTGCACGTATAAATTGGACGGACTGCGCATAAATCTGGTAAATACGTTACGGATACGGATACGTTGAGCTAAAAAACGTTGTGCGAAACCTCTCTAATACCAACACTAACTCTTAACTCCCGGTAAATTAATTTTTTAGTTCGTGCAGTGTATCTATAATTCTTATCTCCCTGTGTCATCTGAGCTCAAAGATGTTATTATTTCAAAGGTGTATTAAAGAAACGTGCATTGTGCCATATGACGTAAGATAACACTATTAATTAGTCATGCAAAATGTTGTGTGTTTTTCAGGACAGATATGGTTTAAGAAGAGTTGACTGCATAGTGTGTAAACAGATATGCATACAAAATTTCGATTAATAATAATTTGAAATAAAACAATTCAATTTCAAACTTACTGATATGTTGTGTTATGGCATAGTTACTGTAATGAATGCATATATTTATTGTCCTTTATGTATTGGAAATATACGTTTAGAATGGAGATGGCATATATGAAAGCGTTGGAAAAAAACATATTAGTCCATCAAAATGACTCGCCGGTCGGTGTTCCATCATTTAAATGCTTGATAGCATAAAATTGAACTTTGATTTTGATCACACCACACCATACTAACATCATAGGTGTGTAGGGTCCACCGACGGGGTTAATTCAGTACAACTTTTTCGTCAGTGTGTTTTTGAACATTTAGCACATTTTATGCTGTCACTTTATGTAAGGGTTGATCTCGCGAGAAGACAGCGAGAAGTTGGAGTGCGCGCCATATTTTTCGGGGCAATTTTGATTTGAATTGCTGTGTTTAATTCATTCTCGTTACATTACCAACCCAGAACATAGGTAGGGAGCCAAATGGATGGAGAGAACTGAGGTTTTATTGTCATATTCAAACTAAACTGCTGTGCTGAGCACACTTGTGCAAATTATGAATTTATTTTCAAATATTGTTGTCTTTTTCCGAGTTTGAATTTGATATGATGGGTCTATTGTGATTGAATTTGATAGACAGGATTCTGTAGCATTTTGGCAAGTAAATTTGATCTGATTTTTGATCTGCTCGGTGTGCAGATGAGATTTAATATGTGACTACACAGGCTATTATTTAGAGTGCCACCTTTCTACATTCGCTTGACCATGCCAGAAGATTGAGATTGCGTTTCGGGGTTTTTCTGAACCTTTCAGGAACGTATAGCTATTGCTCTTAAACGCTAGCTTCTTGGTGACTCCAGAAACTGGTTTTTTTAAAAGCCAGCTTCTTGGTGACTCCAGAAACTGAGTTTTAAAGCAGGCTTTTAGAAAGTTGGATTTGTGTGCTTGCATTCAACTCTTTCTCAACTCAGCAGGGTATGTTTTACTTCTAAAATAAGAACATGATGAAACACGTGGTTAAATCAACAAGATGATGCATTTCATTCAGATAGACTAAAAATAAATTGTGACTTATTTATACAGATATTTCTATCTAACATAAACCTAGTTCAACGTCGTTAAACTCAATAACGGCGTTATTTATTATTAAGAATTTTCTTGGGGCCATTATTGAGTTTAACCTCCTTACTATTCTTTCCATTGATGCAAGTTTTGGATCCACCGAAACCATTTTTCCGCGATAACATGCAACTGATACTTGACAACAATATAAAAACACATAACATCAAGCGATTAAACACAATATTCACTGTATAAAATAACGAATATTGCTTGCAAATAACGAGCAATTCTAGTGGTTATTTGCTTCAAATTGCATGTTATAACCAGTAATCATCACTGACAGAACGCAGACAATAACTGCATATATGGAACACACATATATGCAGCTGCATATAACAAACATCCACGGAGAATACTGACTGCATATACGGGTACTGTCACTGAGTATATTTGCTTATATTCAGACACACTTTGCATATTTGCTGTTTACTTGTGATTACATGCAGCGCTGAAACTGCATATACCTGCTTATTTGGGATAGACAAATATAAGCAGTTGAGTATATTAGATACATGTATATATAAAAATTAAAACTGATTATATTTGCATATGATCTGCATATTTGCCACTTTTCATGAGTATTTCTGCATATTTAGGGATAAGTAATATGCAGCATGTGCGTATATTGAGACATGCACAAGAATATAAACTAACTACATTAGCATATATGGAGTCAAGATCGGTATATTTGACACATTCTTGCTTATTTAGGAGGACCTGGTAGACGCTGTTTTGTGAATTGGGCATAAACATCTGTTAATGTAAATTCCTATTTATGAGCATTTAAGTGTTGTAGCTATAGGTTTGGTTTACTGTACTTGTTTTTTTGGGGTAAGAGATTTGAAAAAATTGCACATTAACAGTTTTTACGTTTTTTATAATTTATTTTAGATTTCTTTAGATTTCTATGCACAGAGTAGGCCAATGAGACGACCTCTATAAGTAATAACTTCAAATAGATAACTAAAATGTATATACATCGGGAAACGAAAATCATTTTCAAAAACAATGATATGATGATCAATACTAAAAAATATACATGTCATGATATAGGGAGAAAATCATTGTTACAACTTATTAGCCCCGTGAAATAATATCGCTTGAAGATGGGAATGTTTTGATCCATCTTTCATATCGCTTGATACATATATAGACATATTTACATTGCACTGTAATTATATTTCTTCCTTTAAATGATACATAATTATTGTAGGCAAAAATATGAATGCCTATTTCAAATCATTGAAAATTATATTCTCTCTCGAATGATAAGCCTAATAATGATTTTACTTTTAAATGGATTTACTCATTAATTATGTTTTGGCCAAACCTGTATACTGCTAAATGAATATATTTACATTGCTTTGTATATGATGTAACATTATATTTCTATCTTTAAAATGGTGCGAACAAATGCTCGAAATCAATGTACGCATATTGCTCAATCTTGCAACCTGTGTTTTTGTTGCAAGATATGGCCTGTCTTCCGGAAGCAAATTCTCGTACGATATCGAATTCTGCTTTCTCCATTCAAACTCCTTTCTTCTTCATCCTAGTGTCTTCTAAAAGTTTCTCAATATCTATGTAAATTGAACTATCACATGAATTCTATTTTGCGGGAAATTTGACACTGCACACAAAGACACTGCTCTGAAGACACTCCTCTGAAGATACAAAGACACTAGTACTGCTGTGTATTTTAATCAATGATACAAAATAAAGACATTAGTTTATAGCATACTGTTCAGCCATACAGTATCATGGACCTTCCAAGACAATCAATTTATTAAATTATCAAGATCAATGCCAAATCTTATATTTACAACAATTTGCCAGGTGTCTTTATTGTGTTGTTTTTTCATTGTAACCTACTTTTATCAAAACTCAATCATCTATCCATTAAGGGAAATAAAAAGCAAGCTAAAGTTTCACTTACGAGAGGCTTCGTCGTGTTCCTGGGTCTGGCGTGGAGCAAATGGCTGACTGGCTAAATTGCGCCATGGGCTTCTAATCAAAAGCCCATGATTGCGCCAATGTGTAGACATTCTCACAGTATGGCTTTATGATTATTTACTTCTCAACAGACATTGGTCATTTGGCAAGCTTAATGTTTCCCTGTCAATCACCTATGTGCGTGTCACGTACGATTATTACTTGCGCATCATAGCTCGGAGACATGCAGCTTGCTCAATATCCACCCCTTCATCTTTAGTTATTCAATAACAAAAGATATTGTTAAAACATAAAATACTAAATTCTGCAACATTTTGCTGCTATTGAACAGTCATAATGCTGTTTTGATGAACCCATGATTTGACATCTCTAATAAGTAATCAAAACATAAACAATTACTAATTACCTGACACAATTGCACATAGGGGCCGGATGTTTGGAGAAGCACCTTGATAGTTGAAACCAGGAATTGTTTTGAATGGTATTTGTGATTTGTATAAAATTACCTGTTCATTGTTAGCATTCAAAATACAAACTAATAATTCACTTTTTGATGTATTCAGTTTTAATTTCAAATAATAAGCTTATTCATAGGATTAAATCTGAATGACATTCTGATGATTTAAGAATTGTATTAATCTTGCGTCAAGATCCTTGACCCCCTCCCGACATAATACATGTATCTCTTAAATAATCTGCAATCAAGAGATTGATAGACATAATTTAATCAGATAAATGGCTTATCTAGTTGTAAAATATTTGTTCGAACCCTTATTTTATATTTGTGTAGGCCTTGGTGTATATTATATATATGGGGATTCAGCAAGGGATTATTAGGTCAAATGTATTTTCCTCGCTAATGCCTGGGTCACATTTGCCGCGATTCATCGGCCGCCGATTGAGTATTTTGTTCCAAACTGAAATATGTGTTGCAATCAAAAGTCAAATGTTTCGAAAGCCATTCACCATGATTTAAGCAAAACATTATTAAAGCTCTTTTTCAGACAGTCAATCAATTTAAATCAATCAAGTTTGAATGCGATTGCATACATGTATTTGCAGATGTAGTGTATCTTACTCACATTTTCACATAATAAGAGCTGTCATTTGACATGTAATACTGAGTTTTTCAATATTTTAAAACATTTGTTTATTATTTTGCGATAATTAAAGCTTTAATCGGGATAGAGATTTCGACAAAGTACATGTACATTTAGTATTACAAGTCAAAAACCTTTTTACTTTACATCATAATCCCGGGATCATAATTTACTAGGAACCCAGATGCTAGAGGAAGCAGTAGATAAACTCACATCAAATACGCTAAATGAAATTATTGAAAATGTAATTGGTATTAAAATTCTCAATATTTTATGTCTACAAATGCCTTGATCTCAGATATTACTTTCCCATGGATTTAAAAATCATCCCAGAACTAATTATAGGTAACACCATTGTGCATAAGCCGTCTGATTGCATTACTCGCTAAAATAACATCCTTAGAAGTGAACAATCCAAACATCTGATAATAATGTAGCTAAAGTCCCCCCTCCCGGTATCCATGCCCACCTTGTTCAGTTGAATCCTTAAAATGTTGAACTACCTTTTGCATTCCTTCAGAGATAATCGGTTAATTTCTGAATTTAACAGAAATTTAATTATACAATGTAGCACGGGGACTTACAATCATTACATACATGATGTAAACTTTCCTTGCAAAATAATTTTAAGCGGAAATTTAGAACAACTGGCTATAGAAATTAATCCATTTAACTATAACAAACGGATTAATATCAGTGAGAACTTAACTCATTTGCAAGAATTGAATAATTAGGGATTAAAGTTTGGTATATTTATCTGACATGTCAAAAGGTATTTTTGTAAGTTGGCTCTACGGCTACCATGCACAAAACTTATTAATTGATCTGTCAAATGAAACAGTTGCAAATGTGCCCGTTTCTTTATCGTTATTATCAAATTATCAATTGAGCGTACCAAATCTTTCAAATTTTGTGAATGTATTTGGGAATGGAAAACAAAGCAAAGTCCAATTCAAAATAGAAACAAGGGTATCTCTGATAAAATGCATAACAGAAAAACATGTATTGTGGAATATATTGTTTGCAAGTTTAACTCAGTAAAGTTACCTGAATATTTTATGTCCTCCAATTTCTTATAACATGATTGAGAAGAGACCGGGGCAATTCATCATATTACAGGCTCGTAGCCAGCTTTTGACTGGGTGAAGGGGGCTTTCAAAAAAAATTCCCAGGTTTTGTCTCTTTATTCTCATATTACCAAGTTATCAAAAAATGATATTTTGATTCACAAAACTGCCCCGAAACATGGAAAAGTACACAAAGGCAACCGCATTTGCAATCTATAGTTCTCAAAAAGCCTGAAGTTAAAAAGCCGGTTTTTGAAACCCAGTTCCTAAAATTCAAATTAGAATACTATCTTTCTTTTCTATTTAAACTTAAATCAATTTATTATAAACAAACTATCCCGGGCAAACTGTGACCAAGTGCATCGGGAATACAAAACTCCTGTAAATGAGTTATATAAGACAATGAAATCAACACTGATCGAAACATAAACACTATAAAATCTTCTTTTGATTCCATTACCTGTCATATTTTTTTCAAAGGCAAGAATCACTTATTAAGCGGATTAAAAGATGTTGGACGTCGCTCCAGTGGTTTATATTTTATGGTTCTGAATTGATGTGCAGATTTTAAATGCAATCCAAAACATGACCAAAAGAGTCTAGACTTCCATTTGCTTTGATCATGGGGAATGGAAAACAAAGCGGCGATTTGAAAAAGTAAACAATTGAATTCCTATGTATAATCCATGATTAAATACGAACGGTGGTAACAGGTTGTTAAATTATAATACCTTCTCAGGAAGAATTAGGTTGCATTGACTCTAAAAGTAGAGATAACAAGTTCAGCGGTGTAGCCAGCTTTCCGTCGGGGGGGGGGGGACGATCTCCATTTCTCCGTCGAAAAATCACAATTATAGTAAAAATAGATTATTTCGAAATCCATCCTGTAGTCGCTTATTATACACAGGTAAAGTCATATTCATAAAGAACTACGGTACTTACATTATTTAGTTGTATTGTTTTATCATGCTTAATAGAAAAATACGCACAAATAGTCCGTTATTTATTTGTATGCTCAGTTATAAAATGAGCAGAGCAACTTAGAAATAGCTTAATATAGTCAGAAAGAGGCAATTATAATGTGTGACTATATTGCACACTTACAGAGTATTGCGTTTGCATATATTTGAGTATTCTTAACTCCACGTATAATCAGTGCTTATTTGTGCTGTTATACAAATAAAGAGGAGCAATACCTGAATATACAGAGTGTTCCATATATGCAGCGAGTATTGTATCTGTACTGTCTCTGTTTATATGTGCTGAGTATTTTTGCTGATTACTGCACATTACAAGAAATTCTTACAAATAGACACTGCTTATAACAAAGCAATATTCTATATTTCATATAGTGATTATTGTATTAAATGGTCATTTATACAAGTAAAATGAGGTTAAACTTACCAATCTCTAAAATGACATTTCCGCATGTCCGCCATTGTGTCTGTTCGTCCCGGGTTAAAATTTAAACTATTGAAACGAAATTGTTGTCAAATAGATTGATAATTATCACGCGATTACTCGGGATAAAATAACTATTTTTGAGGATAGCAGGTATCTTTGATTGATTTATATAGCGCTTGTATACACAAAAAATAGTTATTAATTGCAAACCTACTGTTCGTTGATGCAGTGTCGCAATGACGGTTAATTCCTGATACGATTTGCAATTTCGATGTTACCGGAGTTGACCGATATTTTCGTAAAATTCCAAACCTGTCTCCAATATTTTCGTAATTATGCATCAATATGGTCTAAGGGGGGTACGGGATGGTGTGTATGTATTTATAAGGTATGTATGCATGCTTGAATCACATTCTTTATGTAATATTACCATGTTTTCGGAGTTTAATTAGTTCCGCATGTCGGAACCTGCTGAACGACTAAATTAACACATCAAGGGCAAAATGGTCATGGAGGTTAGACCTAGCCGGGCCATAAGACATGTCAGATAAGAAAAGAGGCCCAGGCTAGGTCTAATGTTGTTGGACTAACATAAACCTAGATATAATATCATAAATATGATGTTTGCAAACGGCAAAACTAGCCAGTCGATATAAAAAATCATTAATGTGTACTTTATACAAATGTCATTTATTGTAACATCAGAACCATGGAAAACAAATAGAAAAATCATATATTAGGGCAGTTTAATAAAAACAATTATAACAAATTGTATACATCTAGATGTGAGCATTGCTCAACTGACAAGATCATTCAAGCGAATACTTCCTTAGTTAGTCCAAGTATCTAAGAAAGAAATATGTTTAAAGTATTTATTCTGGCCGTGATTTTTATGAGTATTGGAAATGCATCAGCTCGTCGGAGGAAAAATGTCGAAACAGGTCCAGGACCAGAGTTCAAAACACGCCCGACTAAACCAACAAATGGGCGTCAGAAACCACCGGGTATAGGAGTAGACGATGAAGCAGTGTCTGAAACAACAACTACAGCAGGAAAACGACTTAGAGAATCGCCAGATAAAGATGAAGCTGGTCCTGAGTCGATCACGTCTCATTCTCCAACGGAATACTACTCGGGTAAGTGTAATACTGTATAAGTGGTAATTTTGCCTAATCATTTAATTTGCCTATTTCCTAATTTTTGCCAGGTTCGGAAAATTAAATGTCGGAAATATTGTCTTTATAATGTTATCCAATGGGAGGTTTCTTGTAATTAGGAAAATTAAAATTAGGAAAATGATGAAATTTGACCATTCGGAAAATTAACCACTCGGATTAAATACCACTTATACAGTATTGTATTTTGGGGCGTTTACCACCAATTAAGGGGAGTGACACCGCGTGGGTATATATCCCGTATATATACGGTCGTAATTTACGTACTTAACCTTGAAGATAGACCCAGGAACTCTTACTTGAAGGAGCCCTGTGTTCTGTTCTATCAGTAGCGATAGACTCTTAAGATCAAAAATTAAACTTTATGAATAATTCAGCCTAGATATTTATTTATATTCATAGAATTTGGACAAAAGGTTAGACTGCAGGACTCTTCTAATAAGTTAACGCAGTGACAGTACTGATTCAGTACTGCGCAGATCCTTTCTCTCATTATATGGTACCCATAACCATATATACTTCTTTATGATTTGCAAAACACAGGAAAATGTTTCAATATGGTCAACATTGATCATTTAGAAATGTAGTGCTATTTTCAGTCGGTTGCCATCTTTTTAGATTTCAAACAGGAAATGATGTCATAGACTCTTTTATAACCTTGCTCATAACGGTAGTATAGGAAAGTAGCGCAAAATCGCTCCAAGACAAATGGTCTTTACTTTCTGTTCAAAAATGTTTTGAGGGATTGAAGAAGAGATTGTCCAAAAAATTAATCAAAGACAGGGTTTAAAAAGTGTTCAGTTGGGTTTGTCCTCCTTAATACTTCTCATCTTCTCTCTGAAATCTTAAAAGATGCCAACTTACTTAATGGGCATTAAATTTTTAAATATTGACTTCATCTTTCAATAATTTATTAAACATAACTATGATCTTGAAAATAAATTTATTTCTGTATGAGCTCGTTATGTTCGCATAAACCTTTATTTGCGCTATTATCCATCAACCATTTTTATTCATATGAAGCATATCTTTGTAGAACTTGACTTATATCGATTACACATCAGATAAAAAAAAGTAAAACAAATATATTGCAAATCTAAATAATAAAGAATAATAATCTGTAAAGATGTTCAACTCAGTATACCAGTTATATGTGACTGACCTTAACGATTAATCATTTACATTTTTTTAAATTATTTATCAGCAATGAACAATGACGTCTAAAGTTCCTCAAATCAACATAACAAAAATTACTGATTGACCTTAAAAATTGATCATGGATAATGTCACATTTGATCGATGTGGTCATTTTTAAGTTCAATACTATTAGAGCTCGTGTAAAATGACATTCATCCTATGTGTTCAAATTGCAACAATATTATATTAATTCTTACATGAATGAAATTATAATACTTCTAACTGCATACGTTTTGAGGTTACGCTTGGAGAGCATCTTACAATACTTGCCTACAAGGCAACGGTGATGTAACGGAAACATTCACTATATCTGCAAGTAAAAAGGCAGATGCTCCAGAGAAATGTCTTCAGTTGTGTTGGAAGTCATCAGAGTCATGTTGGTCCGTAGACTACCGAGTAAATACAGTTCCGAATGACAATACACAATTGGTTGTCACGTGTATTCTCTCGCAAGTGTCACTTGTTCAGGATCAATTTTCAGGAAAGGTAGATGTGACGTGTTGTGAAGGTTGGGTGCATTTTGAAAGGGTGTCAGGTAAGTCATTGAGGGGTCTGATTTCTAAAACGTGAGGTTATATTGTTGTAAACAAATTGAAAATGTGGTTATTTTCTTATATATGTTTATACGGTTGACGAGTAAAAAGATATTCAAAATATATATACCACCCGGAACGGTATTTGCACATGGTAACTTTCAGCCTTAAATGTTGGCGCCATTTGACTTATTTCGCAAGTCTTGACCACTATCTTTCTTTGAATTTTGAATATTAAACCATGTTAGTTTACTTCCGTTGTTACCAGGCAACCAATTTATTGTGTTTTAATCATAATGTCACACATGACAATGGCTGTATATGTCAAATTCTAAGAAAATGACATCAGACAAGCAACCCTTATTCTGGTATCATTTTTGCTGCAAAATGGCTGCTGAAATACAGAATATGAAAGATATCAAAGTGGAACAAAGAATACTACAAGATATTTTCACTATTATTGACTTTGAGCAGCTACCATATGCACGATACAGTCTAGATATGGCTCCGTGTGATTTTCTTCCTTTTCTGATAGGAGGGTTGAAAGAACATGTTTTTTACTCATTGGATAAGGTTTAGAGTGGCACTCCAGAAGCATTTGTATCACATAAGCATTGGCGGTTTCATAAATGTCTTCCATTCATGGGTAAAGTGGCGAAAAATGTGTTCAAATTCGTGGAAAATATGTTGAAAAGTACAGGGTGGTCCAAAAAAAGTGAACCCCTGCAACAGGCTACATTTTTCTTAATACATGCATGGATTGGCTCATATTATCACGTGTTGTAGAGAAAGGTCTAAAATTTTGGTTGATGCCATAATTTATTCTCAGTCTTAAATGTTGAAGAAATTACAAGCGTTTAACAAACATGCCTGGAAATTAGATATTAGAAAATTTTACAAATGTGATTCACGGAAATTGTTAAAACACATTGGATGATCTTAAACAGCTTTCAGTGAGAGATACAAGTTTAAAACCCTACCATATGACAAAAGGGACACTATTCAAGCAGAAAACACATTTCACACTTTCATTGGTCATTTTGAAGCATTTTAACTGTTCAACAGTTCAGGGGTATGTTACCTACACCAACAGTTAGAGGAGGGCCTCTTATGGAAGGAAGTTGCCCCCTGTGACCAGGAATCTGATAACCCCTTCATCAAATATCTTTAAAAAATCAAAAGAAAATCCAATATTCAATGTTTTGAGCCATATTTCATTAGAATTGGTCCATGATTTATGAAGATATTGACATTTCAAGATCATATAGGGGTATGTTCATGATTTCACTGGAAAATGTTTTCGTCTGTGGAAGCTTAGCACATCTCTTTGGATCACAATAACTTTGCAACTAACAAATGTTGGATGCTAGTTTTTAGCCATAATGTGCAGGATTTAAAATTGAACAAAGTCAGAAAATATTAGTTCTTTAAGACTGCAGCTTGAAAATTCTCAGGGGAAAGGTTTTAAAGGGTTGAAGAATCGCGGATATTGAAAATCACAATTTGTCCATTTTCAGTAATGTTTGGTTAGGGCTTATAATTTCTGCAAATTTCAAGACTAAGAAAAATGTATGGTACCAACATAAATTTTAGACCTTTCTCTACAACATGTAAAAATATAAAAGAATTCCTGGGAGTAATAAGGGAAATATGGCCAGTTGCAGGGGTTCACTTTTTTTTGGACCACCCTGTAGATCTTAATATGTGAAGATGATGATGGCAGATGACACTCAGATTGAAAAATCAGAAATTCTCTCAAATCATGACTGGTGTTAGGCTGTGCACCTGCACCTAAAGTATTTGCCATATTAACAGTTGTGACATAATTTGCTATATTTGAATACCGTTCTGGGTGACAGGGACCCGATATTAAAAAAAATATCTAGAAAAGTACCTAAAATATATTCTTTTCTTGTGAAAATTATACACAAAGTTGTTAAGCTGTTGATCTTTATTATCTAAAAGTTGCATGTAATTATATTAGAAAATGACAACGTTAGAGCGGGGCGTCCAAGACTTTTGGATCACCCCTCGTTCTTTTCTCTATAATGTTTTAGAAAACACATCGGACACTTCTCTCGTTCTTGGTATCGTATGTTCGGAATGAAATGAAACATCTATCCGAACCTCATTGGAACAAAACGACATAAACACAACGTGTTTAGGTCTCTCAATAGTGTAATTGTACAATGGAAAGTTTGGTTGATTTTAAAAAAGTATCTTGTTAATAATGAAATAAAAGGTTTATCTTAATTTTTATCTATTTTTTGTAAAATCAACCAAAATTTCCTTTGTATAACCATAATATTGAGAGGTCTGAGAAAATGTTGTATATGCTATTTTGTTCCAACAAGGTTCGGAGGGACATTTTATTTCATTCTCAAGAACTGATAGAAAGGAACAAAAAAACACAAAAAATGTTAACAAAAACAGTAATATAAAATATATATAAATAATTTTTGCATTAAATTGTTGCCAATCAGTCAACATTACATAAAGGACCGTGTTTTTACAGAATGTTTTCACTAATTGGTTTAAGAGAAAAACATTGTTGAATTCAGTTCACCATATCGATACCCTTCCATTATATAGTTCTCACAAGTGTATGTTTCCACTTTTATGCAACAGACGATCGAAACATTTTTTTCACACAAATATAGGTTGGGTATGGAATGAAAAGCAAGATGTTAAAATCGACGGTACAATGCTCAACGTGAAATCCACGTACGCGGAAACGTTTGAAACGTGTAAGGAAGCGTGCGCTGCTGAGACAGAATTTATGTGTATGTCTGTTGAATGGAAAAATGCTCCAAAACCAGCAAAAGAAAAATCTAAAAAAAATCGGTCAAAGTCGAAAGCACTCACTCTCCAGAAAAACTGTCACCTTCAAGCAAGGTGGAGGAGTTATCCAGTACAAGAGTTTTCGATAGAAGTCGGGAATTCTTACGCGGAAAAAACAGTAGGTAAGACGTTGTCAGTATTTCTTTGAAACATTGTATTGAAGTTTATATATTGCTATCACGTTTTTCTATCTGCATGTCTTCAAAATAGTATATCCCTTACCCCATTTCGTTAAGTCACTTTTAACGTCCGGGTCACTTCCAAAAACGCAATATTCTATACTCTCTTTTGCTATATTTGAGAGTCTTTAACAGGTTGGGCTTGGACTTCAGTACAAGAAGCTTGTATCACCGGACATGACACAAAAATGATTGGCGGAGTTGCAAACATCGAAGATTGCAAAGATCATTGTCGGTGAGCATTCAGCGTCATCAGATTTCGCATATATATCGGGTGTCACAAAAAGAGACACTTTTGACAAGTATTTTTACGGCAACCGATGAATCAAATCAATTTTTGACATTTTCTTGAATTTCTGAGTTCTCATAAAATATATATGTGATCTTTTTATATATTTTTACAACTTGCTAATGATACTCTAAGGCTACTTTGAACACATTCAGTTCAGCATTTGCAAAAAAATAATTGTCAAAGTTTCTCATTTTTGGGGCACCCGATATATCTTGCAACATAAACTCGATCAGTTAGTTCTGCCAAAACTACTTGAACTTTTGCATTTTGTATATCATACTTTGTCTCATATATCTATTGGCCTTTTTCAATAAAACATAATTTTTAAATTGTAATTTGGCGCCATTGGTCAAAGTGGCTATATGTTATTTTATGTAGTCTTTCTCATCTATTTCTATGTTTTGTCACTTGCTAACTTTGAACTTTCATACTGGATATGTTCAATCTCATATGGCGTTTTTGTTTCAGCAACGAGTTGAATTTTGTTTGCCGATCCGTGGAATACAAAGATGGGACATGTCGCTTGTCGCTGGCAGATTCTTCAGATGCGTTCAATTATAAGCAGCCATGTGGAACTCCTGGCACGGAGTATAGTCAGAAGAATCTTTGAATGGTCCAGAGATCAACTCTTAGACTATGCAGTTTCTTAGCATTTTGTGACGTATTCATTTAATAAATTATTTCCTACTGAACTGATTAACTATTCAATGCAATGCATTAAGCACTATACAAATATATGTCATATTCCGCAACGAATATGGCATATTCACTTGCGGTGTATGAACGAACGGGGAAAGGTTTATAAATTATTATAGCGATTATTGAATCAACGGACCAGTGCATTGAATAACAAGGCTTTCTGTATCACGTTTTCACCTGCAGTATATGTCATACTCACCAGGGGTATATGGCATATTCCGCAAGTGAGTATGACATAATCCGCAGGTGAGTATTGGGTATTCAAGTCAATATACCACACATTCACTGCTGAATATGCCATATTCACCTGTGGGATATATGTCATACAGCAGGTGAGTATGGCATATTCACCCGTATTAGAAATACCACGCAAACATGAATATATGCCATATTCCGCGTATCATTCAATACGGCCAAACTAACTAAATGAGTAAATATTCCTAACAATCTCGAATTAAGCAAATACTTTAACAGAATATGAAATTTGTATTTCAAAACAGACATAGAGTTTACAAAGGTAAAATTCAAATACTAGTCAATGAGTTATTTCCATACTTCTGCCTAAGTGTTTCTAATTAGTAATATTTTGGTGCAAAGCCTCGCTAGTCGCTACTCTATATAGTAAATATCATCAACTGAGAAGATAGACAAACGTGTTTGAGAATTGTACGCGAACGTGTACTATTTTGACCCACGGATAACCCTCCCCATCTAAATTTTTTTCCCGGTCACGGACCAAAATTACAACTATTTTTGTTATACAGTACCTTTATACTCAGTCGGACATGTAAATACTACGAAGGGGAAAGTAACCCCTCTAGGGGACAATAATTCTGCAAGTTCTCATAAAAATGCAAGCCTGAACAACCGTCACTTCACGTCGGATGAACCATACATATAGAATCAGAATAACTGTGCTTTTATTCAAGTTGTATTTGCATTGGGTTCAATGGCTATGATGGATATATCATTGTGCAAATCGTGCATGTGAGGTTTACTGGACAGTTAGATTAACAAGAACAACCGGTCATATGGATACAATATCCCAATATTAAAAACAATGATCTAAATATGTACGCATAAGTGCTTAATTGGAAAAGGCAAAACATTGTTACAGAACCAAGTACGATCAAAAGAAAACATCTAAGTGCACACCAGTCATAAGGGAAAAAACTATCCCAAACCATAATCCACCGTGGACAGAAACAATGTAATCCCCTTTACCATTCAAGTTCCATTTTTACAATCCAAGACCATTATGATATTATCTTATAACCAAGGGATATTTTATTCATACACAGGCCATATAACAAGATATTATATCATATAACATGCAAGTCAATATTGTCGAACTACATCCATTGTAGGATCTTAAGTCTCTACTATCCTTTTGAAGAAAGAGACAAGCTTTAGATGAATGAATGACCCCCTCCCCTTCTATCAAGCATTCCAAAATCGCATACTACAATCAACCATGCGACATTTAGACATGAGACATTACTACTCCCATTGAAGGCATTACAATACATATTGAAACAAACAAAAAACAATAATGATATCATTTTGTGGGTGAACACGTTCAATAATTGTGGTAGAATACAATACATAACAGACATAAATTTTTATCATATAAAAGCATGTTTTATTTATAAATATTGTAAACTGTTGCATTTAGTGTAAATTGCATTCTATATCAATATAAATTTGTTCATAAATATGGTTCAGTTTTGAACAATGGTGTATATTATCATTAAACTATTTTAACATGTTTGCGAACAAATAAAGACGAACACTAAACGAGTATGTGTGATACTAAAAAGGTATTAAATGTTTCATCAGGAAGTGAAAAACAGTCCAACCAACAAAGCGAGACGGTGTGCATGTAAGTCAACAATGATTCCTAGTTGCAAAGGGTTTGAAGAAAATATGCTTAAAGTATTCATTTTAGTCTTGATCATCATTTGCATTGGGTTTACGACAGCCGGTCCAAGAAGAAAGGGAATACGAAGAACCACCACGAAAGCGCCGATAAGAGCAATTATACAACCTTCGATTCCAAAATTGCCCCTACAATGTAAAGTGTGGCTCCCAGCCCACACAGCAGCAAAATATTATGCAGGTATGATTTAAATTGGTTAGTGAATTCAAAAAAATTTAGTCACAAATTGTAATGGAGAATCAGATACAGCGACAGTTTTCCCAATTCCTCTGAAGTCCAAAACCATTCAAAACTGAATACACCATATAGTAAGAATAGTACAATAACGTCATTTCTAAGGGCAATAAAGTGAAATATTGGACCGAGGGCCGAAGGCCCAAGGTCCAATATTTTACTATATTGCTCGCAGAAATGACGTTATTAGTATTATTACCACCGTTAACGACCAGGGCTGAAATATCAAGAAAATCTTACGCACTGAACGATATCTAATTTCCCGGGGAAAAATTGCCGGTCCAGAATATATTCTAGACCGGTCCATATGGACCACAACTATGACGTCACACATTTCTCAGGTCGATATAGTAAAATGAACGCCTTCTAAACTAGCACTAAAACCCTAGAACTGGCCCGGCAAGGTGGTAATAATACAACTTCAAATAACTAGATGTCTGATCTCAAGAATATTGGTATTCATTTTAATTTGATCCTTCGACATGTACTTCAATTGTACTTAAATAACGTTTATCTCATGGACTTGTAGTTTCGATTGTTTTTCACTTCGTTAGAATATACGTATATACTATAATGGGGGTTAGACTGGTTGTCTTCTTAAGATACAATCTCCTACATTATTCATATATTTTGCTTGAATTGATGCACACAGAATTTACACCAAGACAAAATTCGCCTGTACGACGTATGGTGAATAGTTTAGTTTAAAATATTTTATTTAAGTGTCACTGGTATGATACAATTAATACATATATAAGAACATAGTTAAAATACCACCAGCCGATGTCGGCTTATGAGACACTGGTCACTAACTTCCAAATTATTATCGCAAGAACATTAAGCATATACTGTCAGACTGTAGACAATGCGTATCAGTAATGTATAATAAAACAATTTATCCCAAGTATTGCACAGGTTTGATAATTATAAATTCATATACATAATAAATAGAAAGAGTTAACATGTAACATATTGCCTCTTTAAATTGACTAGAGTTAAATTATAGTATAAAAGTAATGAGGCACTCAATCGAATGAATATGGTGAAACATACATTAGGACATTACAAATAATTATGTTTCAGTCAGCCTTTCAAGGTCAAATTGTCTCTTTACAAACATGTTATGCAAGAGAGCAGCCCATTGCCTTTGAATTGATTTTGAATGCATGAGACTAATAAATAGAAGTAAATCATTGTCAGTATAGTCATAAAGTATTAGTTCATATTATACTTGTCTTACTTTGTCCATGTCAGAAAACGCTGAACAACTTCCTGCTACTGTTTTTTATCATGCCTAAACACATTGTAGGGTATGCCTGGAGAGTATCTTACGGCGTCTGCCTACAGGGCCATAATGATGTTATAAAAAAATTCACCATCCCCATAAGTGAGAAGTTCGATGGTCCCGAGATGTGTCTTCAGATGTGTTGGAAGTCATTGAATCCAATATGTTGGTCGGTAGACTACCGTGTAGATGCCAATCCAAATAACAACGCGTTGTTGGACGTCACGTGTATTTTATCGAAAACGTCACGAGTTCATAATCCTTCGGGGTCGACAGTCGATCTGGATTGTTGTTATGGCTGGACTTATTTTGAAAGAACGCCAGGTTTGCTTATATCTCGTTAAGCAACCGTCATTTATTATCATTTCGCAGGGTGCTTCCTTTAATCTTTGTCAATGTATGCTTGCAACATGTACATGTACAGTATGTTCTATAGTAATAATGTTGTCACTATTTACTTAACACGTGTCTGAAATAGATGGAGTTGTCATGTGTGATTTCATTTCAAAGTCTTTCATTTTATTCAACAATAGGTTGGATTTGGAGAAACAAACCAAATTTTGAAATCAAGAACGCGATGCTAAACAAGAAATCTCTCTACGCGGCTTCCCTTGAAACGTGTAAAAAAGCTTGCGCTGCTGAAAAAGACTTCATCTGTATGTCTGTTGAATGGAAATATGTACCTCCGCCAGCAAAACCAAAACCTGGACGTAAACCATGGGAATGGGTCCAAGGTCCTATACAGAAAAACTGTCATCTGCAAGCTAGGTGGAAACGTTATCCAGCGCAAACCCTGTCAATTAAAGTCGGAACTATTTACGCGGAAAAGGTAGTGGGTATGTTTTCCCCTTTTTCTTTTTATAACATGCTGTGGAAATAAAGTAAAAACCATTTAATCATATACAAAATTGAATCTTGTATAAAAGTAATTTTTCATACGAGCTTAATTTGAATTATAAAATTTATTTTGTTAATTTAAATCGATCGATGGCCCGCGTTCACATCGAAGGTTTATTAGAAGAGGACATATGGAGCCATCTATCGTCCCCTCTAATGATGATGACCAATTATGAAATGTACACGTACACAAGGTTCTCATTTTTCCAAAACCACACAAAGTACAACATATGCCATTTCAGCGTCTTCAACAGGTTGGGCTTGGACTTCAATACAAAACGCTTGCATTAGTGGACATGACACGAAAGTCACACCTGGTACGGATATTGACGAATGCAGAAAAATGTGTAGGTGAGCATAAAGCTTCATTAGGGTTGACAGAACAAACCAAATCATTAAATCATAGTCTTGTTAGTTTTATTTTGGGTGCCTAAATAAACACATCTTGAGATACCATATATGGCATGATTAACACAAATGCAACCCCTTTTCCTTTTTTGACCTTATTCAGTTCCTTGCATTTTAGATATTAAATTAAGATTTAATCAAATATGCAAAACATTAGTGTAATATGTGCCTAAAACAGTTCGCCTGATTGAGTCCGGTCTCATTTTGTTTGAGCAATTATTTGATTGTTCATTATTTGTTTTAATGATTTCCTTCATTTATTGAATTTGCAAAGTTGCTGCATTGTAATTGTATTTTGTCGTATTCTTTAAGTCGTCTCGTTGCTTGATCGGCTTCTATCGTTAATTGTTGTTTTGTCGATGCCGTTTTGGGTTATCTACTAGTTTGTTTTTCGTTCAAGGTTTATAGTTTCTGTGGGTATTGACACCCCAGTCACATTTGTCGCACGGCGGCCGCAAGTCGACCGCAGATCAATTAAATCGGTGAATTTCTGCGGCGAGCGTAGAAAAACTACGCTCGCCTTGCGGCCTCCGTACGGTGAATGCAGATTTTTACAGGGAAGGCGTAGAAATTATAACTCGGAGTAATAATACTTGTTCATTTCTGAGGTCCCCGTAGAAATAAACTAGCTCAACAAGATTGAATCATTATTTGTCAATGTTTCGCGATCACTTTTCAATTGATATTACATTCTCGTACTATGAATTACATTTATAAATTGTCCCGATGTAAATAAAATGAAAAAAGTATTATTTATCAACAGAAATTTAAAATTCACCGTGCGGCTGCCGTGGGAAATGTGACTGCAAAAGTATGGGAACGCAGAAATTCCACGGCGAGCGTAGAAATGTTACTGGCCGCAGAAATGATAGATCGCAAGGTCGCCGTAGGAAATGTGACTGGGGTGTTAGCCCACAGTATCAAAATCTTCATGTTTTCAGCGAAGAGTTGAATTTTGTATGCCTATCAGTGGAGTTCGGAGGTGGGACATGCCGCTTGTCGCTGGCAGATTCTTCAGACCAATTCCACTACAACCAACCGTGTGCAATCCCAGGCACAGTGTACAGTGAGAAGAATATCTAAAGCCATTTAAAGTGACTAATGCTGAAACAATGCGTTTATTTCTTCATTTCAATGAAGTAACTGTTAAGTGTAAATAAATAATGTTTGCTGAATTAATGTTTGGTTTTATCTTTATCAATTAAAAAGGGATGAACAAACAAAATATTTAAATATTTACCGTTGACCTTGAGATGACCTTGACATATAAACATTGACCTTGACCTCAGGTTACCTAATCATGGATCGTCAAAGGTCACAGTACCCCCAAAGATCCTAAAATACTAAAATATTGACCTTTAACCTTGGAATGACCTTGACAAATTAAGTTGACCTTGACCTCAGATCACCTCATCATTGGTCGTCAATGATCACAGCACAGACCAAGGGTCTTAAAAAGCCAAATACCTAAATCTTGACCTATTACCTTGGAATGACTTTGACCTCTGACCTTCGTAGAATGTCAACTTAATATGTTGACCAAGTATAAAGGCCAAAGGCCAAACGGTCCATGAGGAGATGTCCGGACATACAAGACCAGGGCAGACCACCGCACTTTATAGTAAGAAGATAAATATATTCAACATGCTATTTGATTTAATAACATATTATTGCAATGGGTTGTTTACGCTATTCAAATACATTTGTTTTATTCCAATGACAATGAAAATAAATAAAAACAGTTTTATGTTGTACAATTTACAGCAGGCTATGCAATATATGTTTGGTAGAACGTCGTTGAAAGAATAACTGATCAGGATGGAAACAGACTAGTTTGCCAAAGTAATGATCAAACATAAGCAATGTCTATTCGCTTATGTATTATGATTATGTTCTTTATACCCTCAAGGCCCCGCTTCTAACATAATTTAAATAAATATCCCGCTGAAAACATGAGGAGGCCCTGCTGAAAACATGAGGAGGCCCTGCTGAAAACATGAGGAGGCCTTGCTGAAAACATGAGGAGGCCCTGTTGAAAACATGAGGGGGCCCTGCTGAAAACATGAGGAGGCCCTGCTGAAAACATGAGGAGGTTCCGCTGAAAACAGGAGCAAGCATCTCTCCAAAATAGAGTGAATCCCGATTATTAACTGCAAATCTCCCATAACTGTACCCAGCTCGAACCAATATGGTACCCATTTCGATGAATTCATTATTTCTTAATACAAGTCTAAATAACAGCAAAAAAATTGTATTAATAAAGTTTATTTTGTATTATTGCAATGGATAAACTGCAGTATGAAATTCCATGCCGTTTTCCGGAATAAGAGGTCTTCTAAGCAATGTGATTAGAACTAGATCAAATCATTTTCATAATAAATGATGTACAAATAAATGCTGATGATTTCATGTATCACATTCTATTGGGTTTTTAAAGCAAGTCGATATTCAGTAAGATACTAAGCATGCATTTAGTTCAGCCTAAAAGGATTATGTCAGAAAAAATGGTCATTATGACGTCCTTACTTCCTTAATTACTTTCATTCTTCGTCCTTTCCTTCCTTATATAATTACTCATCTGTTCAATTAGAACAAAATTGTTATAAAACTATGTATTTCAAAGATTTTTTTTTCATTTTTCATTTGAGTTACATATCTCACACAGACACCATAGGGCATATATGTGTGGTAGGATAATGTAACTTGATATCCTAAGGTAGAAACAGCTCCCCGTATTAATCTGACAAGAGCTGGTATCTTTATCCTGGCTAGGACCATAGACAGTTCAAGCCAGCACAGGCCTTTTATCGAGTTAGTATCACTCTAGTAATCAACTTCTCTGGTGTACTAGTTAGCATGAGCTGGCTCCTGTCGCCGCAAGCTGGAATTGAACCCAGGATCTTGGCATCAGAAGTCCAGAGTGCTAACCTTTACACCGAAGAACCGAAGATAGTATTCCTTTTCTAATCACTTAACAATTGGTCCTCATAAAAGTATATTCAAAAGTAATTAAATTCATTCAAATATATATACACGTACCTGTATTTCCATATATTTTATACATCTTCTACATCTTTTACGTTTATTCTACATATTTTTCAAAAAGATTAATTTCATTTCTTAGATTTATAGGATTGCATTTTCCAACTCAACCTGAAGGTCATGATTGCTTTTCCATTTAGCAAAATGAGTTACATTTTCGGCAAAGCCAAACGCCGTATTTTAAAAGGCTAATTTTGAGCAAGTCTTCCAAGAGCCCACCACATGGACTTTTCACTGAAGTGATCGGTTATATACTTTTTAAATCTACAAAACAGAAACAAAATCTCAATATAGTGCCTATCAAACAAGCGTATATCAGGGTGCCAACCCCTTGTAGATGGTTTATGATGAAAGTTTAAAGCAAAGTTGTATCCAGTGGATACCCCGAACGCTCCTCAACTGTTCTATTTGTCAAATTATCATTGATTATATTCGGAGGATTATCTGTATTTGTAATGGAAAATACGCCATTCGCCGTCGTCTTCTCGTTTGTTGCTTTTTTCAACGTTCACAATTTCATCATAGTGGGCTGTGCCAAATATTTCCGATTCTTCGAGTGTCTCTGGAAGACGTTTACCTTTGGTTTCTGGTAATAGAAAAGCCAGCATTCCTGCCACTAAAGGAAAGAATCCTAGTACAATATAAGGAAGACCAAACCATATGCGCCCCATTAGAGGAATCTGAGGGCTTATCAGACCGCCGATACATCCGATGCTTGATCCACTCCCGAGACCGACATTTCTTGCGGGGGTCGGGAAGATTTCACTGCTGTATAAATATATCACCCTGAACACAATGTTTATGATTATCGTTCCACATACAGCGGCAGCTGTGATTAGACCGGTGATCTTTGTCATCATTAATGGAATGATAGCCAGTGAAAAGATAGCGTTAATAATCAGAAAGTATGAAAGGATCGTCTTTCTGCCAATGAAGTTAAGTGATAACCACAGTAAAACCACAGCAGGGAGTTCTGTAAGACCTCCTATCAAAAGATTGTTCAAGTATATATTCCCCGGAATTATTGTTCCGACATTTAACGACATCGCGTACGTGCCAAACACAATTGCAAACCATTGAACCCACACCAGTAGCGTTTGCTTTCTAATGATCGGAGTGCGAAAAAGATCAACGATAGTCGCCTGTTTCATATCACTTTGGTCAACATTCGTAGCTACCATATCATTTAAAGAAAACTCATCGTCCACTTTAACTTTGTTGATTTTTGCAATTTTGCGGGCAATCTCTTCGGCGTCTTTTCGGCGTCCTTTTGAGATGAGCCAACGAGGCGACTCGAACATTAGAAAAACTAAAAAAAATCCTGGAACGACAACAGCGGCCGAAAGTAACTGAAGCTGCTTGTGGTTCCGCACGTAGAAAGCCCCAATTGTGACGGTGACACCCCTCATTACTCGTAACAACGTGCAGTAGAAGAGGCAACGTGATCGGGATTTAGGTGGCATCATCTCAACAGTCAAAACCCAAAGCGGTGTATAGGCGCCTATGGAAAATAGCGTCGAGAGCATGCGTAATCCTACAAACAACCAAAAGTTCTCAGCGAATGCCCCTCCAATGATACTCCCGAGTGAGAGAACAAGAAGTCCAAGCGAGGCTCGCTTTCGGCCGAATCTATCCGAAATAGCTCCCGATAGAAAGGCTCCAAAGAAAAGACCAACCATCTGAAATGTGGCAGGTAACGTGAACATCCAGTCTTTTTCGCATACAAGATTGTATTCACTAACAACTGTTGATTCGAATTTGTCCCTGTTATACTGCCAACCATTTTTGCATTTTGTCTTTGTAGCATTAATATCCCGCGTCCATCCATTAATTACGTTAACATCTCCCCAATCTACAGCGCTGTAGTTATAATTATACATCTCACATTTGGCATAAACGGTATCACCAAGTGAGTTTTCAGTTTCAGGGATTGATATTAACTTTTGCATGGTCTCGTTTAGATGAGCAAGCTCTGGCACCGCACACCAATGATCCATTCTCCCTGCTATGAAGTTAGTCAATGTATATTGCCACCCGTTTCCCGAGAAGAAAACATTCCAGGAAATCACCATGAAAATTTGGTAAAGACCAAATCCGCCGATCTTCTCTAGAGTTGCATCAAACGTCATCATATGTTGATGAAGTATCACCTTTTTGAGAGTGGCCAACGCCGAATTATGTCAAGGGATATGTAATACCCGGTAATAAGCATGTGTACAGAACGAAACTGCATGCAATGATTGCTTACGTCAATTTGATGCCCTTAATTACTTGTATATGACCTATTTCTGTTGAGCTTAAACTGATCCTCATTCTATAGCCTCCAGATGATATTTCAATGTTTCAATCATACACCAGAAGTATGTATATGCATAAGGACGAATAATGTTTGTATACATACACTATCAGCTTGTACATGTACTGTACGATATCTTTGTAGTTTTGTGTTAACATGGCATATAACAACTGTTCGATTAGACTTACTGTAAAACAAACTAGATTTTGGGGCATCACTATCATAGTAGAAAAAATGAAAAAGAATGGACTTTGGACTTGATTGACCCCAGAAAATTAGCTGCCAATATCATCACACTCCCGATACATCAACTGTTAACAAGACAGCATCCTCCGATCACAGAATATATTCTTCTTTTTACCCCCTGTGATAAGCAGTTAGCATTTCCCCAATTAAGAACTTGCAATCTAATTGGCTGTCGCAACATCGCGACAGAAATCATGTATAAGTCATTGCACATAATTAGATCACGTGATTCAGTTTAATCAGGCGCTTTCAAATCGGTTATAGCAGGGGGAGAAGGAGGTACGGATTCTGGATACCTGCTTAGGAGGATGACAAGACATCGGACTAATATAAGTTTTGAAAAGCCCATGTGCGCTAACTTTCTGATTGGTCAAAGCGCTTTGGTATTTGTTAATATAGTTCCATTGCAGATAAAATGGACATTGAAGTCGGATTCTAATTTTAATTTAAGATTTTAAATAAAAAACAACAAAATATTAGTAGACAATTGAAATTGTATTGTAATATTGTTCTTTATTTAAAATTGTAAGCTGTATATTTTTAGTATATAAACCATGCATGATGATTATACGGCAAGATGATGAATAATGACAATCGGATACAGATACCATCGTATAAATGTTATTGTTACTTTTATCCCATAAATCGACATCTACATGGCTGGTTATCCATCCCCCAAATGACACATATCCTAGGGGTTACCATAGCAACCATAACTTCAGAAATATTTGTAACCAACATCTAAAATTTGTATAACTTATGATGAAATGAATTACCCAGTTACTCTGAAAATATTGTGCAAAATTAATTATGAACAAATAACTTAGAGCATTTTTATCAGGACTTCTGGATTGGCCTTGTAGATACAGACACTAGATGCAAATTTAAAAATAATGGACTTTCACTCCCTCTGACATCAGATTTACATGCTGTATAATCATATAAACCAAGCGCGAAAATCAATGCAAAGGCTTGCGTATTCTGGTTGTCTTTAAACAAATATTCCTTTATTATTGAGATAGACAAGGATGAGCTAGATATTGGTTATGATTGCTGGAATTACACCACAAAATCCGCTAAAACGTTTTAGTGGAAGGCGCTTTACAAAATCGCCATTCTGATTACACCAACATTTCTAAAGCGTCTTAGGAATTATATTTTGGAATTACACCTGTTTATTTCTAAAACGCCTTTCGTGCACTTTTAACGATGTAGTTATGGATAATATCCAGCATACATGTACGTGTACATCTCCTGTAAATGTATTATTTTTGCATCTAAGACAAAACTGATCTTCCATAATTTGATTAAAAATGCATGACATTGCATAAGTTTCATTTATCTTTTATTAATTATGAGAAAACGTAATAAAAAGGTAAAAGAAAAATATGCACATATTCTCTGAAGATAACACTTGATTTCGATGTGACCTGGCAACCATCATCCATTTTTCAATTTAGATATGAAGTCTTATTTCGTTGAGGGCAAATGTTAAAAACTAGTAAAAACCCGGGTAAGGTGTCTTACAAAAACTGATCGGTATTACACTGCACACTTAAAGCGCCTAACGACTTATGCCGTTTACTAGTGACAAGGGTTCTTGGAGTTTTAGAAAAGCGCTTTTGTAAAACCGCAATCGTGATTACACCTAATTCTTAAACCTGGTTAAAACCGAAGAAGCTTTTGTAAAACGCCATGTGTCATTCCAGCAGATGTAATAGACTATAATGCTGTTATAATTTTACTACATGAGTTTCATATACATTTCTCGTTCGGCTGGATAAGCATCCTCATTTTTATCTTCACCGAGTGGATCGATTTCACATTCTTGTTTCACTCTTGTAAACCAGTCTACGAACTCTTCCCCGAGGCCTTCACACAAAACACTGTCTTCTTTTAAGGCAGTAATAGCTTCAGACAAGGTTTGAGGAAGTTTCTCTCCGCCTTTATCAGCCTCCTTAGGGCGAGGTATCTTATTTAAAACGCCATCTATTCCAGCTGCCAAGGTTGCTGCCATAACGAGGTAGGAGTTGCAAGCCCCGGATGGAAGACGGTTTTCAACATATGTTCCCGATTCTCCTGTGTTTTTAACGCGGAATAAGGTGTGTCGGTTCATGATACCCCAGTTGATGATGTCCGGACACCAACGTTGACCAATCCTATGATAACAATTGACAGTGGGGCAACACAGGGCGGTAATGGCCCGTGAATGCTTCACAAGACCTCCTATCCAATGCCCAGCGAATTCGGATAAGTTGTCATCTTTTGTCGGATCATACATCGGATTTTTGCCTTTACAGTCCCAGACTGAATGATTAAAATGTGTCCCGTTCATTTGATGCCTAGAAGACGGCTTACTCATAAATGTAGCGAGTAAGCCCCTTTTCTGACATATTTCCTTTACTCCATTTTTTAAAATAAATGCAGAGTCAGCAATTTTCATATCTTTCACTGGGCGCATGGTGATTTCAAATTGCCCTGGTCCACATTCGGTTTGATAGGTTTCTGTATCTACGCCAGCTTTGAGAAGTTCGCCGTCAATTTCGTAAAGAAGAGATTCTTGGGTTGCCATGACTACGCTTGTAAACACATCCATGCCTTCAAAGACAGGCTCAAGTGTTTTCTCATTTAGTACCTGTGTCAAGTATGAGAAATGTTGAAAATATGTCAATACAATGTAATACAGTGTGTATCAAAAAATACGCAACAGATTGTTATCTCGGAAAAGCACAAAACCAGTGATAACAGCATTGATTTCATTCAATGCACCATAAAGCCACGTGTCTCTTCTTTACAATGATATATCATTCATTGAAATTTGGTCATGGTTGGGCAAGTAATCATTCCATTTGCAAAGTGGGCCAAAATAAGCTTGGGACCAAGTTATGAATATCGTAAAAGTCAGTTTACGGAGCCCGATGCAATGTTGGAAGAAAACATAAAACCAATGCTGACTGCATCCTTTTCATTCAATGTACCAAAAAGCTAAATTACTCCTCTTTGCAATGGAATATCATTCATTCACAGGGAGTCTTGGCTGGCCAATTAATCATTAATTTTGCAAAGTGGGGCAAAATTCAGCTCGGACTCAAGTTTTAAACATTGCAAAAGTCAGTACAGGGGGCATAGGGGCTATTGGAAGAAGGCGTGACAGGTGTGACATAGACAGTAAAGTGTTCATACTCATAATCTTGCAAGAATACATCCTATACCCCTCCAAATTGCCACCACTTCCTTGCACATAAAGATGCGCTCATCTGTCCACGTCATGCATGGGTCAGCCCTGAGTCATCTTTGGGTTAAAGCAGAGAAAAGCAGCCAATGTGCAATTCTTTCTCGAGCTTTTGCAATATCTGGTGAAGGAATTTTGAGCACAGATGCTCCTGAGATAGCTCCAAAAGAAAAAGTCACAACGATTTAAGTCGGGGGTAACTTCCATTGGCACTTAGCCCTTGCACTGATTTTTGCAATATCTAAAACTTGGAGCAGAGCCGATCTGGACCCACTGTGCAAATGGAAGGATTTCTCACCCAACCATTACATGTGAATGAATGACATATCATTGCAAAGAGGAGAGACGTGGCTTTATGGTACATTGAATGAAGTCGATGTAGTCATCACTAGTTTTGTGATTTTTCGAGTTAACTTCTTGTTGCGTTTTTTTGATACACCCTGTATATTGTGATGAAATTAAAGATTATAAACATTTATTTTACAAATACCATGGGGCTAAATCTACTGGAACGAAATATAAAGTGGAATATATTTGACAAAATGTACCAAAAAATAACATAGCTAAAATACATGTATTTAGGCCTACTCACTTGGAATTCAAATTCGTTTGCCCCCATGACGGAGAAGCCCATATTTGAAAGACGATCTAACTGCTTTCTCGCAACGTATCTCGGACTAGCTTTCTGGTAGCTCCCATCTTCTTTCCAATGTGGCTCGCATATTACCTCCCCCACCTTATACCTTCCACAACCTAAACAGAGAAACATTTTCTTAAATGACACATATTAACAGAAAAAAACATATTTAAAAGGTCATATAAAGTCATGTTTAAAAAGGTATCTAAGTCAGGGTCACCTGCGGGGTCAGAAATGAATAAAAGGAACATACTAGTACTGATGAACTGATTTATCTCGCCTCTCGCTGTATCTCCGCAATATTCTACAGAGAAACAAAGTTTAAAAGTAAAGCCCCAGTCACATTTACCATGGTGACCGCAGGGTCTATCATTTCAGCGGTCAGTAACATATCTTCTCTCGCCGTATGATTTCTGCGGTCGGGAGGTACATTACTCATCAAAACACTACGGTAGACGCAAGTCAACATAAGCCCGACGTCCAGGAACCGTGGGACCGTTCTGCGGTCTGGCAACGGCCTGTTAATTTCTATGGGGACCGCAGAAATGAACAAATATTATACAACTGGACGAGCTGGACGTACAATGAACGAGTTGAATCGCAGCAAATGTGACCCAGTAAATAAAAGGCGTACTGAGGTCACGGAAGGTCATAGGTCAGGTTCTAAGGCACGAAAAAGGTCAACAGTTCAATATTTGACAGCCACATATTGGGGCCCCCAGACTACAAATAGCAATACGGAGGTCAACTCAATGTTTAAAGCCACATTTAGAGGTCAATACCATTTTAAATATGACTATATTTTACTAAACTTTAACTGCATGTAAACAAAGCACACAATAGTACAATAACGTCATTTCGAAGGGCAATATAGTGAGAAATTGAGCCAAGGCCGATAGTGAAATATTAGACCGAGGGCCGAAGACCCAATGTCCAATATTTCACTTTATTATGCACCTCATTAAAATACTCAAATCTGATTGGTTCTTAGTTGCTTGTAATTTGGCAATACTCTGCTCTTTTCTGAACTGCCGGATATTTTTTTAATATTTGACCCTTTCGAGAAAAAGGGTCGGATATTTTTTTCAATGTTTTTGCAACATTCCCACTTCAGAGTTTTATTTCTTAATAACTGGAGTACTACTTAAAGCTTACATCTGAAACTGGCGGAAAATAGAAGAAAAAAATGCACTTAATCAATCACAATTACCCTTATCATCCAAAAGTTACATATAATTCTGCAAGAACGTCTCGAATAAATAAAAATTAAATTCCCGGGGCAAATATTTTCGTCCAATGTAGCGAATAAACTGGCCGGAAGTCGTCTGAGTTTTGAAAGAAAAAAGAAAAAATGTCTGGCCATATCCAGCTCCTGATCATCCAGTATTTGTTTAATATTGCCTGCAGCAATGACGTCATTAGTATAATTACCACCGTTAACTACCAGACTGACACAGCAAGAAAATTTTACGCACTGAACGATATCTAATTTTCCGGAGAAAATTGCCAGTAATTAATTGCATTCTTGACCGGCAATATGGACCACCACTATGACGTCACATAGTAAAATGAATGCCTTCTAAACTAGCACTAAAAATCAGAGAACTGGCTCTGCAAGGTGGTAATAAAATACCTTAATAATGTACATTAGGAAATATATAAGTGGTTTATCCAGGGAACATAGTAGCCCGGACAGAATTGTTCAATGGTCACTTTTTCTTAAATAACTTTTTTAATTTTCAGTATTATCATAGTCTAATCACATATTTGAAAACTATAGTAAAATTCTGACATACAAAAAAAATATTTTAGGGACATCTCTTAATTTATTGATATTATAGGCATTCATAGTATGACTGACGCAAATACATAATTCATCATTTTGCCTCATATTTGTTCAAAATGGCGGCATATTTTGTGAATTTGAATGTTCAGTTGAAAGTTAATATTTAAAGATTGTCATAGGACTATAGGGCCATGCGGCCACCGTTACAATCCTGATGTAATGCAGCAGCAACTGACCATTCATCAAATACAAGAAATTAACTCCCTCTGAGGGTATATGAAATCAACTCTATTGAAATGTTCGGGGTTGTGTTCAAGAGGATTTGAAAAGGTGGCGCCCCAATTTGTGGGGTGTGATGAGAGTAGGTCCTCAATCTTTTCAAGAGCTCCAAACAGTCATCTCAGAGGCCATTGAAAAGCTGAAGAACAATTCACATGCATGCCAAGGATGGGTTAAGAGGCGTGTGACTGGGAAAGACATTACAAACTGTGACAGTATGACCCTATCGTTGCACAGGTTAAACGAACTACATGTAGGGTTGCTAATCCACTACAAGTAACAATGGAATGGCCAAAAATCTTTAAGTCCTGCGACTTTACCACTATACTGTACATACAATGTACAAACCTTTTTAAGTACTGGTATACATACAAGTCAATTTAAAACAAAGGGTTATAAATGCAGTCATTACCTCATACCAAGGCAGCAGTCTACATGATTTCGTAGGCCTATATTTCTTAAATATTAATTTTCAACTGAACATTCAAACCACAAAACATGCCGCCATTTTTGAATAAATATGAGACAAAATGGTGAATTATGTATTCGCGTCACTCATACTATGAACGCCTATAATATCATTAAATTAAGAGATGTTTCATAAATATTTTTTGTATGTAAGAATTTTACTCTAGTTTTCAAATCTGTAATCAGATTTTGATAATACTGTAAATTAAAAAAGTTATTAAAGAAAAAGTGACCATTGAACAATTCTGTCCGGGCTACTATATACATCCTTATGTAGACTGTTTATTATTGGAAAATATAATGATACATGTAGCTTTGGGTCATTGCTACGTATACTTTTAAATGTATTCAAGGAGTCTCGTGGTCGTACCGATCTCCTCCTACTTGACCCCGGTTGATTTTTTTAATCTGCATCATGTTAATCAGTTGTGAACATCATCTTTTTACAATTTACAATAGTCAATATTGACTTATTGTCAAAACATCCATATGCTCGTTCTAGAATCTCTATATGCATTCTGATACTCCTAGCATCTTTCCGTTTCAGGGCTGAGAAGAAATGAGATGCCATGGTTTATCATGATGCTCTATATGCGTAAGTCACCTATACTGTTCTGATTAAGCTTTTGTTATAAAACTATATATAAGATATGGCATGCCTTTTCTCTTTACATAACAATGTCTGGTCCTTATAAAAAGTATACTTTTGTTCTAAAGTGATTAAATTCATTCAAAATACATTTCCATATATTTTTCTACATCCATAACAGTAATGGTTTTGTTATTTTCGGAAAATCTCTTGAGTATGGATGAGTGAATAACACATGAATGAGTGAAAGAGAGTAATCTCGTGAGGAGAGACCGAATAAAATCACGTAATGGGTAGCTTACAAAAGTTCAATAAAAGGGGGCGCCCTCTAAGTAGCTCAAGTGGGGCAACCTATTTAAATTGATGAATAGGTCAGTTACAAGGCGTAGAGATCAAGGATAGTTAAGTGGTAGGTGAAGGGCGTAATATCAATGTAGTCGATTAATTATAAATGCTTAAATTGTGAGAGAATATAGGTGATCGTCTAGCTAACTATTACTCGCACATTGACAATGAAGAATTATTATGATTATATAATACCAGTCAATATATTTCCTATCACTTATTGGATAGTTTTAGTACTTCAAAATATATGTACAATTGTTTCAAAATAACAACACTAGTTACAACTCAGAAGTAGTTACAGATATTGTCTAAGTTACCTAAAACAATGCAAGGTAACCATTTAGTACTTTTAACTACGGGTTTTAGAACTCCGTATAAAATAGCAATTCAACCAAAAGATTGATGAAATCAAAGAACCAAAATAATGCTAAAGAAACCCGTCCAAGGTTTTGTAGCTTAATTGACTTACTTGTATTATTGTTGAGCAGCTCTTGGCTTAGACGTGCAGTAGCGTAGACGTTCTTGTAGTTCAATTCCCGAATTTCGACCCCGTTAATTTCGTTCGCTGAGTTTCGACCTCTGAATTTCGACCCAGTAATTCTAATGATACCCCTTTTTATACCCTTTTTAACTATGCCCCACGTACTTTAAACGTTGGCTTAAATTGAGAAATAATAAGTGATTCGTATTGAAAACATGCGTACGAAATATGTAAATAAGTGATTCGTATGTAAAACGTATGTTCAAAATATATAAATGATGTACGCCATTTTGGAACGTCTGAACTGCGTCACGCCAGTACCAAGAGCAATGCTCGATCTTAAATGAAAGCTTGTTTACAAATAAGTTTGACCTTATTAGGTCACCGGGTCATAGAAACACATGTTGGTGTTGTGAAATACTACACTCAACAGTTTACTACGATTATAGTGATTAGGCTTTTAATCAACTCAACCTGAAGGTACATATTGAACTGCCAAATGGGTTGGGTGTAGATTTTCGGCAATTTTGAGCAACTCTTCTAAGAGTCCACATGAACTTTTCAATTATTTACATTTCAAACTTCTAACAAAACAGAAACAAATTCAGTGCCTATTTAACAGTAATCTTGAGTGTATAACCGAAAGCCAAACGTTTGTAGGTGGTATATGGTGACAATTTAAAGCAAAGTTGGGTCCAGTCAAGCATTCCTCAACTGTTGTCAAATCATAATGCACTGGCTGCCAGCTAAGTAGATTTAATCGTAGTTATGTAAACAGATACTAGTTGGCGCTTCTTAACATTAAACATCTAATAAGGTAATTAGTGAGATAAGCCAGGCAGTGAATCTTATTGGATCAGCTACAGCTTAATGCCTATGGTGTATTATCTGACAGCAAGCATCACCATGATGTTTTATTGCCATAACATTAACAAGTAGAATTAAAATCATCAAAGTCAATTTAAACTAGATAATGGCAACTCCGCGGAGTAGCAAATCCCAACGAACAAAATATCAATTACTGAATTCCAATCAATTATACTCATTACTTTGGTTAAAATTGAAAAATTTAGATTTTAATATTGCGAATTCCTGCAAAGCAGCCATTTTGAATTTCCTGAGGTACAAATCTGAAAAATGATACCATAATTGTGATCTACTCCAAAATTCCTTCAATTTGAGTA